TAGTTTTGTGCTTGGACTGAGGCAAAGGCTGCATTCACCTCTGCATCTTTCACAGTGGGCCCTTTAGTACCTTCGGTTTCAAATACTGCACCAAATTAACCACATAATTATCAGAATACGATTATCAGAGAAATGATTACATTAAGCAGGGAGCGAGAACTGCAAAATCCTTTCCCACCTGTTCCCAGTATGCCTCAACCAGTCAGAACTTCTTAGCATCTTTGTAAAGCAAGAAGGATTACAATAAGGAGCAAATCTCAAAAGAGGTGGCAGGAATGACCTATGCAACAATATAATCGTAACAAAAAAAAGAGCAATCTCAGATTATAAAGATTAGTTACAATGTATCACCAAGACAGTTGTGGTTTCCTTGTGGAGGGAAAATGGTCTATATTCCCCACAAAAATATACCATGCATCCCCCTCTTTGTAACACTGCATGCAAGAACAGTATCCCTAGATTCAAAACACAGACCTATGAAGGAGCAAATCCCTTAGTCCAGAAAAATAATGATAACCACTATGTAGCTCACATGGTTTCCATAAAGATGCTAAAAACTTAATGGCTTGCAAAAACTTGGCTACAATAAATGTACTAGGTCTGGGGTCAACAGAGGACAGATTTCCAAAACTTTATGCAGAGATATACTTAAAATGACAGCTGAAAGCCTTTGCAATGCAGGCATGTCTGGTTCTGATTTTGTAACCAACAAAGAATGACCCAGAACGCTGGATTACATGCCCACATGCTGTTGTAGAACAGTAACTACATGCTAAGGGGTAAGTTTGGAATTTAGACTGTATCCATATACCTGATGGGCAGGGTATGCTACAAGGCTTTGGACAGGTGGTGAGTGCTGCCCACAGGATTACCAGGAGCCCTTGGCAGCACCAAAAACATACAAGATAGGCACCTCAGATCATCCGTCCAACTGGCCAGCAGTCATCAGGCTTGGTCAAGTACAATGAGCACAACCCTTTCTCAAATTCAAATGCCTTAAGGTAAACCACCTTCTCTCACTCAGGTGAGGCACAGTAAAATGTGTAGCAAAAGTTCTGCAATAGGACCTGTTGTCGGCCTCAGTCTCTGCTCCTACTTTTTATTTTGTGTTACTGAGGTGGAAGGATAGAATAAGAAAGCAAGAGTGGTGAAAAAGGATAAAATCATGTTAAAACAAAAGGAAAAATAAAGCAAAGGCATTCAAACTACTTGTACAAAAATAATTACTAAAACATTTCCATTGTTTAGGTGTGCCGCTTAATAATAATTGAATTTCTGACCTGTTTTTGAAAAAGGACTAATTTTGAATTCCCTGGAGACTGGCAACTTTAATATATGCTACTGGGAATACATTTGCAAAGTGCAGAATCTTTCATAAAAAAAGAATTTAACCCCCAATCACCTTCTGTGATCATGGCATATAGATTCTTATTGAACCCACTTAAACAGAGATATGAAGATCCATAGAATGAACAAAACAAGAGTGAGACTGAGAGGTTGCAAAAATAACACGGAAGAAGTCAAGCATCCTCACAGACGATCTGGTTTCTCTTGAGTGTGTGAGGCAAAGGACTACTACTGACACGTGCCCTCTGTGGAGCCTGTGAAAGGTGGGCTACCTCCTTCTGCAAAACAAAACCTGCCTTTCTTCTCAGTGTAGCTAACTCTGCCAGTTCAGAGCCTGTCCCTCTCATCTCATTTTGAGTGCCTGCATGCCTGCAGCTGCCTCTCACGGCCAAAGGTGGGAAAGATGGCCCAGAGCTGATGTGGATGTCAGCCGAGGTGTGTCTGTGTGCCAGACACCCCTGCGGCCTCCGGGGTGGAGAGATGAAAAACCAGCTCTGGCTTCCCTTTCAGAAACACACCCACCTGGCAAGGTAGCCAACTGCCACAGGCTCCTCCAAAGAGAGAGAGGTTGGCAGAGGGCAAAACTAAAAACACAGAGGCCTTAAGAAAGCATACCTGTGCACGCCATGACCAACTGGAAAACAAGCCCTACCTTTCCCAGAGAAGTGAAGGAGAGGGCCATGGTGGGGAAAAAAACGGTAGACAGGGAAGATGAGGGAAGATCACTGAGCACTGCAGGCCTGTCTGCCTTCAACTCATTGCTTGCCATGTAGAAAAAAAGAGAAGGCTTAGCTAATATATGGCCCCAGATGACCTCATTTTACTTTATGGTGTTTAGATTTTTCCCTCACTTTGCCTTTTTGTGATGAGGAAAAGGGTGGTACTTAGGAACAGGCAGAGCTCACAAAGTTGGAGTTGAAGATGGCTTGCTCAAGAGGCCAGGTTCCCAGGACTGAGCCTCATTGAGCAAAATCCCCTAGGGTCTAGTGCTTCAGTGCAGTGTTAAAGGTAGTGGAATGAATAGATGTTTACAAAAATTTCAGTATCACAGCTGGTCAGCTAGCCAATGACATCATCAGTCAGTGCCTCAATTTAGAGGCACTAAACATGTGGGTCATTAAAAATACCTGACCACACAAGAATGGTCTGGTATCTACCTACAAGGCACAGTACTAGGTTACCTAATAACTGGTCTATGCACGTGCTTAACTTCTCAGTAAAGTTGGGATTACCATGAAAACGTTTTTCAAAAGATTTTTTAAAGAAAGTATTGTGGTAGACATCAAGGTAAAATTTCAGATCTTGTTTAGAACTTAGTTTATAAGCACTTCTTGCCTCTTATTGTTTTTATTTTTATTACCACCACTTTTTTGTGCTTAAGGTTTTTAAAGATTTTATTTTGCTCTGGGTGAGTAAAAGGAAATTGTATTGCAAGATTTTAGGCTTTTCTTTGGTTTCACCAGCACAGGTCATACTAGAATTGAGACAGGTCTTCAAGAGTAACCTTCCAGATGCTTGTGAGGCTTTGGAGAGAGTTAAGAAAAGAAGGAGGATGGTGAGCCAAACCCAACAACTCCTAGAGGTCCTGAAATGAAGCTACAGAGTAGTTTGTTGCTGGACAGCATGGTCACCAGATGTGGAAAAATACTTTCCAATTGTGCAATTAAAGACCAAGTATTCTCATCATCTACTTGAATTTATGTCAGAGGACCACTTTCTCCAACTTTTTTCAAATGCATAAAACCTTTGATCCTTATTCCAAACTGAGAGAGAAAACAAGATTGTACTTTTAATTTATTTGTTAAAAATTACATCAGATTCAACTGAAATAAAATGATCTTAAATACTTCAGTGTAAACTGTTCCATTTATACAATAGCAATATTCATAAGGTTATCCCCCACATATTTTCACCATTATCAGTAACAACAGAATTTTGAAAGACTGAATAACAAATAGAAGTGACACGACTGGATGGAAGGCATGGAGAATAAAATTTGAATACTAGTTCTTGTGAAGAGAACCAGTATTTCCCCATGTACAAGCTCTGATTAATCTCTATAGTTTTGTTTGAAGGTTACTCTGCCAAGCCCTCAATTATTTGTACAACTGATGACTTTTTCCATTCTCAATGGACTGCCTTCTTTCAGTTAACCAAAGACTATTCCCAGGTTTCATGTGCCATATGACTCTGCAGCAATGATGGATTTGGGGCCATGTTTCTCTCATGAGTTCATAATTCTGTAACTTTATATATAACTTACAGCAAATACATATTCTGAGATATTCATAGAAAAAATGATTTGCATACATACAAAAAACAGAGAGAGAAAAGTTTATTTTGAGATGTAAAATTAGGTAAGGCAAAAGGCAAGCTTGAGCTTTTACTGAGAGTTGAAGTATAAACATTTTGGAGTTCCCCTAAGATGTCTAGACTAGTGTAACAGTAGTCTTTGTTTAGGGCAATGACTTCTAATCTGAAATTTGTGACACCCCAGGGTGTCTCCAGATATCTCCCAAGGTGTTGTAAAATTTCCCCCACACTGCCAAGTAAAATAACTTCAATTCATTTAAAAAGTATGCCACACATGTTTGGACGCAAGGGAGGGCGTCCTGGAATCAAGAGAACAGTTATAAGTATTTCAAAAACTTGAGCCTTGTCAATTACATTTAAAAAATCTAAACCAACTTTTGAATAGATACAATAAATGCGGAAATAAAGCAAGAAGAGATGGTCTATGTGCGTGGTTTTGTGGTTGGGGAAGACAGGGAAGGAGGTGCTTAGTTGGGACACTAGTTTAGTGGAAAACCCTTTTGACTTTACTTACTAATGGTTGAATTAGCACTGACTGCCAATTAGAAACCCAGTTCATAGGTCCTCTCTACCTACTTGCACTAAACACTGGTGCCTTGAAGTTGGTTTCAAAGATCTCTGTACAGTATTAGTTTCTTTGAAACAAATGAACACAGACCATAGAAAGTGGCAGCTGGGCATGGTAAACCTAATTTTGTCAGTATTTCCCTTAGCTTCTCACTGAAACTGTTAACCTGAGGCCCTGGGATTACATATAGGTTACACATCGCTGCTCTGCAGTATCTAATTCTTAACCTCCTTGGTCATTAAGAGGTTAGTAACTAAAACACCACTGTGGGTTTACCACTGGGAAGTTGGCTTATTGCCATTATGTTTTACCATAGCTTCCAAACATCCAATAAAATATATTTCCTGATAGGTCACTGCCTCAGGCCTCACAGCTTTCTTGATTCAGAACATGCACTTCAATCATCTGATAAATCTGAACATGGATTTCTTCAAGAAGAGTCACATACGTATGCACTCAAAAAAAGACATCATTGAAAAAAAAGCATATATTTTTTTATTAGACAGGCCTGCCTTTTCCCTGGAGAGCTCAATTTTACTGTTTACTTTTTATTCTTCATATCACTGTCTATTTAAAATTAGAACTACGTTTACATTCCAGTGAGAAATTCCTTACTAAATTATTTTTACTTAACCCTTTGTCAACTGTGAATTGCTCTCCAAAAAGAAGTTTCTTTTAAACTAATCCCTTTATAGCACATTTCAAAAGTTATCTGAAGAAATCAAACATCTGCAAATTGAGTAGGGAGAGGGAAAAAAGAAAGTATACTTGCCTTATTCGTAGCAGTAGCACTGGATCCAGGGACCACAGGCACATTTGTCACTTGAACTGAAAGATAATTATTATCTATGAGTGGCCAGGCCCCTTCCACTTTGCATGTCTGGAAGTGATCCTTGAAAGTTCTGAGGTGAGGATCTCCAAATAAGCCACAAAAAAGGTAATTGGGAGGGTTCTGGTCCCCCATCCTGTGTTCCCTGACTCCAGCATGGCTATGATAGTTGCAAGGATCATGGGTCACTTCGGGGTTGGTAGAGGATGTAGGTCCATCCTTGGAACAATTCCTCTGGCTCATGAGGTCACTGATACCCAACACGGCAGAATGGTATACCAGGTTGCCACGGCAAGCTTTTGAAGTTCGCTGGGTGCAGCCAGCATAGGCACGCAGGGCCTTGCAAAACTCCAAGTCAAAGCTGTCAGTGGCAGAGTTCAGGTGAGAAGTTAGGGACACAAAGTCTGTGGTACATTTCTGAATTCGACATTGGGTTGGCTGTTGGCAGTCACCTATAGGAAAGAAGACAAGAGCAAACATTTGTAAACTCTTCATAACTTCCTGAGCTACATGAGAAAATGACACTGTCCTTTGGGAACTGTTTGCTCTATTTTACATACTGTACTCCTACTTTAAGAAGCCTTCAGAAATAGGGTTTCATTGTGCTCCTGTGTCTCTCTCAAATTAAGCCACTGGAAGAAAAACTGCATGTAATTAGTTAACTTAACACGTTAATGCATGAGCCACTGTGAGTGAACATGAGTCTAGTCCAGTGTTTACAGGTTGAGAATATAACAGAATAGTCAATAAAATATTTTACCATTATTGCTATTTGTTTATAGGTTTTGGAAAAGATTTCTCTTCACTAAGGTTATGCCAAAAACATGAACATTGTTTTGATTTCCAAAATTGCATAGCTTGCTTCATAAAGCATTGTAAAAGCAGCACTAAGCACAAAACCATGGTTCAAACCTCCACATCTCAGGAAGGTGTAAAATCCTAAATTATAGTATAATTAGTTAAAACATCTTTACTTGATTTACCTGTATGGCTACAGAATTAGAACATCAAGAAAAAAAAAATCCAAGTACTGTCATTCTACTTCTCCTGAGGCATGTTTACCAAGAAACTGTAAATAAACTGGCACAATTTCCTAATTTTAACAAAATGTAAATGCTCTAAGAAGGAAAAAAAAAAAGATTCATTTCACCAAGCTACATATTTACTTTTTCCTTAACATCTGCATCTCCATCACCCTAGGAGCCTAGCTCCCAAGCAGATCACAAGTAAAAGCACACTAAATAAAAACAAGTGATACAAACATTATGAAAAAGCAAAGTATTACTGTATTATTAGTTTAAAAAAAGTCAATTTCCAAATGATGCTTTTTAACATTAGGTTCTCAAACAAAAACTTACAAAATCTCCTAAAGCACAAAAAGCACAAGAACTGCCATTACTAGGTCAGTTGTGTGCCCCAAATAATTTAATATTCTGTTCCATAAAATGGAAACAACAGACTTATTCAAAAGAGACACTGTTCTTTATCATCAACTGCAAATTTTCTATAAATGAACTGTAATACATATTTGTGTTACATAAAATTCTTTATAGGTCTTTAAACTATGGAGAACGTCTCAATCTCTAAGTCTTGGGGTCCTCATCAGAGAAATGAGGAAGTCATTCTAAGATGAACTTTGTGATCTTTCTAGACAGCAAACATCTTATAATTTGTATTCTGGATAGGGGGAAAAATTCAGGGCCAGCAGATTATTATTAAATATATAATTATTTCAAGATGTGGATGTGATAAACTTTAGGATGATATCAAGATTTAGGGAACTCCTCTGATAAAGATTTAAAAGTAAGCCTAATATTGTCTTAGAAAGCTATTTTAACACTTTCAGTAGCAAACTGCTCTTAAATCTGAACTTATTAGCCTGTAATCTGTTTCTAGCTTTAGTTAGAAGAAACAGGTTTGTAAAGAGACAACTTCTGAAGACAACTCTGTCACCATTTTTAAATTTGAAAAACCAAAAAGGGGAAAATTTTAGGTAGTCTAGGCTTGATATTCACTTTAACCTAAGCAAAAGATGAAAACATTTTAATATGTTGGAACTATGGATTTACAGCAATCATCAATTCATACTTTCAAAAAAGTTACAAACACACCTTTGTGTGTAATCTATTTTGTTTGCTCAGTCCAAAGCTGACAAAAGTAGCTCCAGTATTTACAGAATTCCTCTTTCCAAAGCAGATCAAGTCACTTTCAGCTACTTTTTTTTTAAACTAGAATCTAAATCAAACCAAAACAGAAATCAACCAACTAAACAACTCCAAAAGGCGTTAAAGCCATTTTGCAGATGGGAAAACCAAGGCAAAGGGGTATTAAAGGGCTCATTGTGGCAGAATCATAAAACAGCTAGCATTATTAAGCCAGAACGTGGTGCCTTCCCTCAAAACTTGTTGTTTGTCCATCACAGGTCATATCTCCTTTTATTTCCTAACTTTAATGACAGTACTTGATGATGGCTAAAAAAAGACTTAAGTACCTACTGTATTTTATTTTTCTTTTAAAATCAGATACACGGAAAGCAAGAAAATAAAGACAGGGCCAAGATCTCAGTAATGAAGAGCTCTTAAGACTGCAGACTGCAGATAAATGACAGCACAAGAACTTCCCGCTAAACTTGCAGTGCCTATTTGTTCTTTTTATGGTCTATAAAATCTATCCGAGCATATGTTTATTTTTAATTATTTCAAATAGTCATAAAATATCAAAAGTAAGAATAGTATGGAAATGTAGATGGAATCGTTCAGAAGAGAATAAAAGCAGAATTTAGATTTCCAGCTCCCTTTTCATACCTTCTTCATTATCCCCCAAACCATTCCCTTTTCATAGCAGGTTGGTGCTGACTGCTTAAAGAAATCTCAAATCAAACAGATCGCCTTAGGTTTTTTTTTTTTTGGCTTTGGATAAGGCCTTCAACAGCCTTTTGCTACAGAGATGAGGGGAGGGAAGAGGGCTAGAGAGAAAGTACGTTTGGGTCAGCATTTTCAGCTTCATTGTGGGCTCCTGTATAATGACTAATTTGTAGCATACACCCAGAAATATCCAGGCTTCATGAATTTATAATGGCAATGCACACTTTGCCTGTTATAGGCAGTAAAGTAAAACTCCTGTCAAAATGCCAAGACAATGCGGTTCGGAGCAGAAACAATCTCAGGGATGTAGCCAAGAAGGCCATGAAGTGTATGAGTAAGCAAGTAACCCCCATATTGGATCTCCATTCAGGAATTGCAGAGGTTTGCTTTAAAAAATAAAAAAAAAAAGTGCAACTAAAAGTACTCTTTTTATACTCCTCCAAGGGCCGAATTCAAACTCTTCACTCTTAAGCTACAGATTTCTCTATTTTTGGGACAGACCATCCGTGCAGTGTGACAGTATTTTCAACATTTGTGGGTCTAGAGCTTTCATTTTATCTTTTTTTTTTTTTTAAATGGATCAGAGATAAAGACCTGACCATCCAAGACAGTTTCCTTAACACCAGGACTACATGTGTGAATCTGCAGCACATCGCCAGGGTGTAATAAAGGAAAAGAGATATGCTGAAGCTGAATTAAGTGAAATGTGGAGCCATATGGGGTGCTGAGGCAAATGATAAGGATCCAGGCATAAAACATACAGTAGTCCATGTGCAAAGAGCACTCGCTCTCTTGCTAGGCTCCCTTCTCTGAGAAACACCCCGGGCATTTAAGTAGCACCACTCTTCAAAGAAATCTCTCAAAAGTAGCGTTCTTTTCCTTAACCAGATAAATTGCTTCAACACATGTTGGGTTGAATCTAACGGTGACTTAAATGAGGACACATGAAGATACTAAGAGCTTCACATTCCAAATTCTTGAACTAAGACACCCTACTTTTCTAAACCTTTAAGCCAACTTCGTAGGCCTTTCACAGGCCAGCAAAGAAATCTTCGAGGACCACATTCCAATCCTGTCACAGGATCCTATGGCAACTATGGGAAACAATATTCAAGCAGCCAAAGGGGACAGAGTCCCCCAGCACAATTTCCATTTCATGAAACGTACATTTTGGTATTATGGACACATATTTTTCACACAAAACACTCCAGAATATATCTTGTAATACGTCAAGAAAAATCTTCCCCGTAACTACATGCAGTTTGACACTATTTTCTAAGATTAAGTTACTAATTGAAAGCCGTAATCATTCTAAAACTTTCTATTACCCTTTTTTAAAGTTAAGTCGTCAGTCTTTTCCCTAATTGATGGTGTTAAAAAGCAGCTATTACGTCACAATGCAAAGCTACGCAAAGGAATTAAGTCCTCTCAAATGTCACATTTCCCCCCACCCATTACTTAAAAGACCTCCCTAATTTTTAGCTCTGCGGGTGTGGTTTAATAAATAAGTAAAAATTACTCGGCACAGTTGGATGGCACTGAAGTTCAGGATTCTCCAGATCGAACATTGTGAAGTGCCATATACAGGACAAAAAGCTCTTGAAGGAAAAGAAACTTATCTAGTGCTCCGTTCTCAAGACTAAAAGACACTTTCTCTTTCAACCTTAGCATTAAGAAAATTCGTCTAGGCAAACTCCTAAAAGAAAATAGTGTGAAGAGCGTCCTGGATTTTCATGAAACGCTTTTTAAAAAAGAAAAATAGGTATCACATGGCAGAAGGGTCATCTGCAGGCTTACTTCCCTAAGAACATATTCCTCGAGGCTGGGGCAGCGCCGACCTCCAGAAGGCAGCATGGTTATCTGTCAACCCCTCACAGAGCCCGAAGACACCCGGCTAGCCACAAGCACGAGCTTTTCCAGGGAGGCTGACTGCTGAATTAAAAGCAGCTTTTGCCTAAACTAAAGAAATCCCTGGTCGAAAAAGTTGACGTTACTTCGAGATTAACTCCCAGGTTTGCAAACTCTGGTGAAAATCTTTCCATCTGGTGCGCTTCCTTCGCCTCGCCGCCACCCCCAACTCCAGAAAAGCAGCACAAGGCTCCTTGTCTCACTCGGAGGCGGCTGCGGCGGCGGAAACCTGATCCGAGCCTGACTTTCAGTAAACACCAGCGCTGAGAGCAATAAAACATCCGGAACATTTGTCTCGGGCGCGCGGCCCCCGCCCGCTAAACGTTTGATAAGCGGCTGTTGGATAGGAGATTTGTCGCCGGCCCGAGCCGAAGGCGCGTAGGGTGGGGAGAGAGCTCGTCTCCACGCCCGGCGGGCGGCTGCGTTCCTGTCGCCCGGAGCCTGGCTGAGGTGAGGTGCGTGTCACGGGCTCCGGAGGCCTTTCCCGTTGCGCCATGCCGCCCTTCCGCCCCGGCGAGCGCCTTCGAGACCTGGGGCCGTTTGGGAACAAAGCCCTCGGCCCCGGGGCTGGCTCCCCTCGCGCGCTCCCGTCCTACCTGCGTGGAGCAGCCCGAGGCTGAGTAGTAGCAGCAACAGCAGCTCCAGCGGCGGCGGGCAGAGCCCGGGGCGGCGGCGCTGCTCAACCTCGGCGGCGGCGGCGCAGGAAGGTGCTGCTCTCAAGCCCATGCCCGTCCATGCAGGTCTCGTGGGCTCCGGCGAGGGCGACGGCGCGGGCGCCGTGGCGGGTCTGGGCCCGTGTCTGCTGCATGGGCCGAGGGGCGCGCCTCGCTTCCTCTTCTTCCTCCTTTAGGCCCGTGTAGCAGATGGGCCGCCACCACCACCGCAGCAAGCAGTGCGCCGGGGGCGCAGCCAGTCGGCGGAGGCAGCAACGGGGCGCAGGGGCATCGTGGCGGCGGGGAGGGAAAGAAGGGCAGAAGAGAAGACACAAAGACCGTGAGCGACTGCTGAGACGAGTCCCGAGCGACCGGGTGCCCTAACCCCAGCCAGCGTGGGTTCCGCGGGCGTGGACCTCCGAGCAGCTCGCGCAGCCTTAGAGAGCAGCCCGCCGGCGGCCCGGATATCTGCGCGGCGGTCCCCGCGGTCAATCAATCTCAGTCCCGCACTGCCGTCCCGCCCCGCCCTGTGCCCGCCTATCCGCGCTGCCATGGCCGCCCTCCCCCACCCGCTGCGCCCCTCCCTTCCTCTCCATTGGCTGGTGTTGCATGTCCGCCTGGCTCAGCCTGCCAATCGCAGGACCCAGAGGGCCCGGCGCCCCGCCCACTTAGTGTAATTCGAGTTCCGGGTCCATCGACTGCAAGTTCTCTCTCCTGCGCTGCAACATTCCTCGTGCTCTCTTTCCTCTCTAGTCTACCCTCTTCCGCGATTTACTGTTTCCTTGCGCTCAGTGGAAATGGGCGACAGCCACTCACTCTTGCCGGCATTACAAAGGTACCGGCCTTTGACCTCTCCTTGAATTATTGTGATCGGACTTTTTTTTTTTTTTTTTTTTTTTTTTTTTTAAATTTAATCACCCCTCCCGGCCCTGGCCCTGCCAGCTTCAGCTCCACCTCCTTGGAGGAAGCTGGCGCTTTTACCGAGCACCGCGCGGCAGGTCACCTTTCAGCCAATCACATCTGCGGAACCGCGTTCCGAGCAGCTTGCGAGAGTCTGGTGAAGTAAGCTCGGGCGGTGTTGGAAATCTGAATGTCACCCGCGGTCCGGGGCAGATAGGACGGGCTGGGAAGGTACCTGCGAACTCCTGGAGTAATTCGCTGGCAGCTGCGCGAGGCTCAGGTGTTCTAGATTTTTTGACATTTCCCTTCCTGAAAGCCGCAAAGGAGAAGTCTAAGAGTGGGCAGACTTCAACGTTCTGTTACAGTGTAATTAATGAGAGTGGTGCGTTTTTATGCAGTGTAACTATGCCACGATTTGTTGTTGCTCAGTGGCTTTTCCACAAATTTCTACAGATTAATTCAATGGCAGGTCACTTTCTCCTTTTAAGATCGGATTGGTCTAAAAGTGAGGAAAAAGACAATTGTCTGCACAGAAAGAGGCTGCCAAGTGGAGACAAAAGCAGATTGATGATAGAGTCCAATTTGTTATCAGTAGGTGTGAAGTGGTATCTTATCTCAAGAATGACCTCAAGGCTGAGAGACACTTGATACTGCCTGCCTTAGCTGTTTTCCAAACAGCTCGGCTGCCATTTAAAATCCACTAACACCCAAATCGTTGCTGGCAACTCTACCCGCTACATTACTCAGAATCTCTAATTAGGAATTTCATATCAACCACGGACATGCTGATATTCCATACATGTTCAAATGGACTAATCAATGGACTAGGATAATTGAGGGGCAAACCTTTCATATCAACCACGGACATGTTGATATTCCATACATGTACAAATTAACTAATCAATGGACTAGGATAATTGAGGGGCAAACCTTCGTTCTCACCAGCTCACTCAGACACATTGTGAATTGCTCAAACCACTAGATCCCTAATCAAGGATGCCTATCTGTTTTTACTGTAACTTTTCATTACTTACTTATTACATACTATGATGACTCAAGGGGTAAACACACCTTTCACTACCCACAATATAATCCAAGCCTTGTGTATATCCATAATATGCTTAATAATAGCTTCACAGTTGCCTGAAGAAATGACTTTTGCGGAGGAAGGTACATGACATTTTTAGATAATGCTGTGGACTAAATATTATTAGAGCAAAAATTTACCATCTTGCGATTGCTTCATATAATTAATGAGATATAATTCATGATATACTAAGAAGTAGCTTTAAAAAGTAATGAAATATAACACTGATTTTCAAAGTATTTGGCTAACAAAGACTAAAATGTTTTTTTCCTCTTAACCCAAGGCCCTATAAAAGAAGCATCTCACCGTATTGACCATATTTTAAAACATATAACCAATAGTTAAGGATCAATAACTTCAGTTTGGTTTGGGTCTTTCCGATCGTGACTTTATATGATTTTTTTTCACTCCCCTCCCCCCATATCCTGTTCTGTAAGTACACGGGTGCTCTAGATTTCCTTAACAATAGAGGGCGTCCTCGAGTCATTGCAAATCCTGGTGGTGTGAAACAACTGTTCTTCAGAGGAAAAACTTCATCTTCTCTAAGGTGCTTTATTGCTCCTCTGTTGTAAAATTTGACAAGCTCGAGATTTATAAGCCTAACAATTCACTTTTTATTGCCGCATAAGTGTTCAGACGCTAGAGGAAAATGCTAATTTTCACAATTATACCACTTGGTGGTTCCTATTTTCAAGACATAGGTCAGTTGACAACTCGCGGGTAAATTGGTACTGTTAGAAAGATCAGAAATCGGCTTGGAAAGTAAGAGCATAGTGAATGATCGCTTATAGCACTGCCACTCCTCAAGCCCGTGAGCTGCAAGTTACAAAGGATTTTAGATCCTACAAAGAAAAATCGGGGAGGGTGCCACAACACAAACATAAAATCGATGACTTATAAAAGTTTTATGTTTTAATCAGATAAAAAGAATGAAGTGACTGATGACTTGTGTAACTCATACATCCACCATGTTTCTTGCCACTGGTGCTCTTTCTCCCTTCCTCTTTGTTTTCAGGAAGGAAAGAGAAAGAGGAGACCTGAACAGTACATTCAGGGGATTCAGCAAACCATACCATGGTAGGAACGTGCAAGTGGACAGAATTAAAACACATGCCAGAAACACTAATGGATTCTAAACAAGATGCGGTTTCATTCCCTGAACCTATAGGTGATGTTTTAACCGTTGTCTAGTTAATACGTCTCCTTTCCAGAAATCTAACAGGAGATCTCTGCCTGCTTAACAGATCACCTAGGCTTCCGTTTGTGCAATCCATTCTAGAGTAAGGGCTCCCTGGCTGCTCCCCCGTCTACTATGTATACAAAGCAGCGGCTGAAATAGCCTGGAGTCCGACAGCGCAGCGTCAAGCAGCTCGTGGTTTGTACTTACATCATTTTTTTTTTCATAGCAGGAGTGAAAGTTTATCAAAAAGCTGTAGAATAGTAAGGAAAGAAAGGAAGGAAAGGAAAAGAGAGAAAAGAAGGAAAGTACAACTTGGAAGAGGGCCAAGCGGGCGACTTGAGAAACCAAGTGCCTGTACTTACATCATTCTTAACCCTTCCGCTCCTGGAGGGGGCTCAGAGGGATCAGGAGGCCCCCGGACTTCGGAACACGCAGGACCTGGGCGTGAGAGAAGAATCCCAGAGCTTGGTGTGAGCAATGCACCCCCGGAGGGACAGAGCCTGGGGCCTGTGAGGGGCTCATCACCCGCTCGTACACAACGGGCCCCCGCAGTCCCTGCGGGCTCGGCTGCTGCTCTCACCGCTCAAAACGGCAGGTGCAAAAAGCATTTGGGAGCCGCTTGCCAGCGCGCGGAGGTAATGCGCTTCCTGTCCATTTATCTCAGGAAACCAGTGCAGCCTTCCCTTCGAAACAAAATTAACCTCTCATTAGCCAGCCACTCGCTCCCAAGAAGGCCTTAAAAGCTTTACCAGCTCGCTAATGTATTTAGGCTTTTCTTCCAGGCAAACGCAGCCGCCGGTCTTGACTGCCATCAGCTCAAGGGGTTCCTTTGGGCTCTCCCGCGAGCCAACAGCTGACCTCTCTGCAGCCTAGTCTGGGCAACTCCAGCCAACTCCGGATCCCATTTTGTAGTCCCTGGCAGACCCGACACCCCTGAAAGAACTCCACGCCAGAAGAAGCCAGAACAAGTTCCCACGAATTTCATGGGCGCTCTTCACATTAAATCCTCAGCTCCCCTGTCCTCAAGGGAACAGGAAAGGGCGCTGGGTAGGGACTTCGGTGGCCAGCTGTCCCTGGGTCGTGGGCGCTGATTGCTCTGCGGAGCACCAGCCCTGCACACAGCGGGTGCTGGAAGCGTTGATGGGGGGCTGGAGGGTGGGGGAGCGTAAACTAGGTAGGATCTAGCCGGTTCCAGGCGTGGAGAAGCAAATGTGGTCCTAGATCTGTAAGTGGCGAAAAGGGGCTTTTGGGAACGTCAGGGCTTTCTCACCCCGGCCCCCCGCCACCCTAAGGCTGGCAGATTTATACCACACAGGTGGATGGAGACCTAAACAAAACAGTCCCGGCTGCTGCCTGCCGCTCGCCCCCCACGTCCCCCGGGCCCACCGCAAACTTCAGCAAAATAAACAACTCACCACAGGCATTCCCTTGTCTGCAGCACGACGCTTGCCAGCTGGGAAAATAAGCCGCAAGCCACGCGGCCCAGGCGCGGAGGGAAGGCAGCGCGGCGCCCGCCCCTCTCCCCCAGGTGGGGGCAGCGGGACTCGGGGCGGGAGGGAGGCTCCGCGCGCCCAGCTCTCTGACTCCGGAATGAGCTCTCGGAGAGCAGCTGCGTCCTTCCAACTAGCGCGATTTCTCCGCCACCTAGGCGAGAGGGCGGGGAGCCCAATCCCTCAGTCCCCCGCACCCCACCAGCTTCCTCCAGGCTGCTTTCTCCCCACTCCAGCCTCGAATAGAGGCGAAAGGAGACCCCCGCCCCCGAGCAACTCCTCTACCGCCACACTGCCCCCTGCCGGCGCTACCCGGCTCCCTCCTGCACGGCCGACGGCTGGGGGCGTAGGGGCGCCCCAGACCCCCGCGTCCAGTTCCCGGCCCAGTTCTCTCTTCGCCCTTCCCCCCACCACACTCAGTCTTGCACAAAGACGCCTTTCACGCGGCCAGCGCCGCCCTCCGCGCCGCCCTCCGGGCCAGCGGCGCTGCCTTCGCCCACCCGCGGCACCGACCGATTCCTGGTGGGCGATTGTGACCGTCGTCGCGGGGCAGGCGGCAGCGGACGCGTGCGGGCTGTTCCCAGTCCGCGCCTCGGCCAAGGCGCCAGATGCGCTGCCCCCGCCTCGTTCTCTAGCTTCCCGCCAGCAGCCGCAGAATGCACCCCTTTCTCTGTAAATGATCCTTGAGGTTCTTCCTAGTGTGTCTCAATATGGGGACAGTGGCAGGAACGGTCCTCTGGACTTTTGCCAAAAGAAGGAATCCAGCGACCTTCCCTGACCACCTAAGGTGCCAGTGTGTCTTTACAGCTTAAGAAAGCCAAAGATGAAGATTTGGGAATAAGGAGGGAAGAGCGGGTTTAAAGGGACACCTAAAACCCAGAGCAAGTGTGTTGCAAAGAACGAGCCGACGAAATGTTCGAGGGAGGACGGTCGCTTCGATTAGCGTAGAACGCGTGGAGGGCGAGAAAGCGATTAACTTTCTACCTTAGACTGATCTTCCAAAGTAGAAAAAAAAAAAAAGCATCCTAGATACTCAGCGGCAGCTAACAGGTGCGTTCAACCCCTGGAACGAGCAGGCTGCTTCTCTTAGTCAAGTCAAATGCTTCAGCATCTTCACTCAGGGAGGTCACTTCTTGCCTCCTTAGGCAAGAATCTATGACCCTCTCCAGCTTTTGCCTTCTCCTCCCACAGCCCCTCCTTACAGTTTCTTGGGCTAACGCTAGAGGCAGCACAGGGCAGTGTAAAGAGGGCGAATGGGACTCCACAGAAGCACAGAAGAGGGTCTAGTCCTGAGTTTCTGGGTCTGGGTCTTAGGCAACTGATTTAACATCTTTGGACCCTGGTGTCACTATCAAGAAAGGATGTGTAAGCGGCAATATTAGTAAAATTTACATATTCTTCTGTTTTTTAAATTCAGTGATAATGACTGCTCTTCTTCCAAACCTCTGCAGGTTCCTCCTTTGTGTTTTTTCACTTTGCTTTATCTTCTCCAAGTGCCAGTCAAATTGAAAAAAAAAAAAAAACTGAGATTGTTTCAAGGTAAATGTAAGATATATTGAAACATACTCTTTTGCATCTGAGAATTAAGAGGAAGAAGAAGAAAAAACCCAACTCAGCTCCTGTTTCACAGAAGCAAGGAATTTTAATGTCCCCACTTGCTTTGCTTTTGAAAAGCCACTCCAGAAGTCAGCAAAGCACAGCTTTGATTTAGAAACTAAAGGCTAGTCTCTTGTGTTTTTCTTTTCCCTTCCACCAACACAAAGACAAGCTGCAGCATAAAATAATGATGAACAAGAGTTCAAAGCAAGCCCAGTGAGCCAGCCCAGAGGATGTTTTTTAATGCAGCCCAGTCCTTCCTCTCTCTTCTGCTAAGCTGGACAGTACATAAATAGCAGGCACAAGCTGCCAGAATTCCCTGTCTCCTCCACTCTTTTCCCATAAATATTGGTCAGTGGAGCCTGGATGCTAACTTGTCAATTATCACATAAAAGCATTCATCAAATAATACATTTAATTTTTCCTTAGTTCCATAATACTTTTCAGAATTTTAAATTCACTACCCACTTTGGAAACTTGAACCTGAGTTCTTCCTCTGGGCAAGCTTGTCTGTTTTCGGGGAACTTTCTATGCAACCAAGGCAAAAAAGGGCAAAATCTCATAATGAAGTACTAACTTTTAAATTACAAATCTCTTGTTTTAATTTCAACAATAGAGTTTCAATAATGGCTTAACTTTCATATAATGCTCACTTTTAAAAGCTATCTATTAAAGAGAATTCTTAAGAATCTTTTCATTGGGAAGAAATTTTCCTTAGATAATAGTGGTGGGAAAATATCGTGAGCTCGTCTAATTCTGTTGGTTTTTCTTTTTTTTTTTTTTTAAGTTATATTTTAGGCTCAGTATGATGGCTCACACCTGTAATCCCAGGGCTTTGACAGGCCAAGGCTGGAGGAGCACTTGAATCCAGGAGTTAGAATGAGCCTAGGGAACATAACAAGACTTTGTTTCTACAAAATTTTTAAAACTTAGCTAGATGTGGTGGCACATGCTTGTAGTCCTAGCTACTTGGGAGGCTGAAGTAGAGGATGACTTGAGCCCAGGAATTTCAGGTTACGGACAGCTGTGGTCCAGTCACTGCACTCCAGCCTGGGCAACAAAGTGACACCTTGTCTCTTAAAAAACAAGTTATATATTAATTGACAAATAAAACTATGTAGTTAAGGTATACAGCATAGTGTTTTGAAATATGTAGACATTGTAGAATGGCTGGATCAAGCTAATTAACATATGCATTACTTCACATACTTATCTTTTTCGTGGTGAGTACAATTGACATCTACTCTCAGTAAATTTCAAGAATAGAATACTTTGTTAGTAACTCTAGTCAACGTTTTATACAGTAGTCTGTTGCTTTCAGTTGTATCAGTCTCAACACTCCCACTGTCTCACTCAAATATACTAAAACATTTACATTTCTAAATAGACCTTGGATGGTTCATTGGTAAAAGGACGTGGCTTGTTTCTTCTCCTTATTAAAAAAAAAAATCTTACTAAATGCTTCACAACTTTCCCACCTTAACTTATTTTGATCTTTTTTTTTTTTTTTTTTTTTTTTATGTCACGTCAAGCTAAGTAGAACAAAGATGGGAATAGAGAAGGGACGAAAAGTCCCTCTTCAGTGAAGTTGACTTAGCATTTTTCTAATGACTATAAAGAAATTTTTTGCAGATAAAACATATATATATGCACCGTCTTCTGAACATTCACTAAAAGGTGATAGCACTTGAACTTTTAGAACGTTCAGCTAATGTGTACATCTAACCCTTCAGTTGTCAAGGTCATAGCTTGCTTACTCCGGATGTTCCTAAGTTTTTTGTTTTTTTTTTCATTTGTAATTGTGGAAGTCATCTTAATTATTAAGAAGCATATGAATCAATTTTCTAGTTTTTTTTTTTTTTTAATCTTCACTGAGGAATGATCTTGGCAGAGATCTTGGTTTTACTTTTCTTGCATGTTTTGTTAAAAATTCTTCCCTAAATTAGTTTCAGATTGATGGCTAACTTAATAGTACCTTTATTTACCCATAATGTTTGAGAATTATTATTGTAAATAAATGATACAATTTTAAATATTAGTAGTACTAATAGTGTGATTGGTAAGGAACAGAATATCAAATGAGCTACATGCGGCTGCATGAGCCTGCAGTTCCAGCTACCTGGTAGGCTGAGGCAGGAGAATCCCTTGAGACCAGGAGTTTGAGGCCAGCCTGGTCAATACAGTGAGATTTTATCTCAAAAAAGAAAAAGAAAAAGAAAAAAGAATACCTATAGTATTAGGAGAAAATGTTGCTCTCTAGATGTGATTTAATAAATGTTTGTTTAATTAAACATTGAGGTTCATAAAATTCTGTTTTGTTTTATAGGGTCAATGTTTAAATTGAGTGAAAACATAAGAAATCTAAGACTTATTTGTATATTTAAAAGGGTGAGGATTTGCTTTGCTTCCTTCCCACTCCCCAAAAAAGATATAGGACGGCTGTCTTGAACCATCAGCTCATGTGATAGTTAAGGTAAGGAATTCTGGTAAATTGCAAATTAAAAAAATGAAATCTCTAGATACATACCCAGTGAACAAAGAAAAGAAAAAGAAAAAGAAAAAAATGGATATCCTGTAGAAGATGAACATTGTTATAATCTATCAGTAATGCAAGCCTGATTTTCAAGAGAAATCCTGCAGTTCTAAAGTATTCCTACATATGTGCACAATAAAAAGGTAAATGAATACACATTAAATTAGTAAAGTCAGTAATTATAAAGAAGAACCAGGAAAAAAGCTTTTTTCTTTTTCTTTTTGGTCTACTTAGTGTTAGAAAAGCTCTTCTTATGAAGAAGTTTCACTCTTCGTCTTTCCATCATTGGCTGGCATTTAGAAACTTTCTCTCCCTCTTCTCCTCTCTCTCTCTCTTCATTCCTTCATTCTTCAACAAACGTTTCCCAGCTGTTAAGCACTGTAATTAGGCACTGATTATACAACAGTGTGTAAAACAGACCTGACCCCTCTCCCCAGTGTACCTTCAGTTTAGTGGTTCCTTTTCTGCCAGGCTGGCCAGGAGAAAATGGCTACAGCATCTTTCCTTCTTTGTATTCATGCAATAAGGGCTGGAATGGGCTTCTTCACCTTTTACACACACACACACACACACACACACACACACACACACACATGCACAGACACAGACACACACACACACACACACACACACACACACACACACACACACCTCTTTCCTTGGCCTTTCCCTCTTTCCAGTGCTTAGTTTTTTTTTTTCTTTTTCTAGTAAGTCTCATTTTTTTTTTTTTAGGGAAAAACAGGCCCCAAAGTGAAAACATTTTTAGTCATTCAGCACAGTTGAAAATAGTGGAACATAAAGCAGCAAGGACTGGACTTTTTTTCATTGTGTCTCTTGAGTATTCCAGTTGCAATTATGATAGACATACCTAGATATACTAACACACACATATATAGTCTTTTCTAGATCTTAAGTCTAAAGAGGCAACTTATACATCCCAAAGATATCCATACTTCTCCATTATATTTGCTTTATAAAAATGAATTCCATGAAATTGGAAAGGAACCATTTTAGTGAAGTAAATAACTGTCAAGATGCCCATATATGAACAAATTTAGACCTACTGCTATTATTCATAGTTTCTTTCATAGGCAAAATCTCTATTCCCATACTCA